TGCTGTACAACAGTGTGTTTGAAGTGCCTAAAATAATCAGTGTGTGGAGCATGACTTCACAAGCTGAGGAACCTGGGGACTTTTTTGAGTTATTAGTAAACAAACCAGATTTCTACCTGCACTTACAGGTTAGAAACACTTTAGTTTCCCAGCACATGAGTGTTTTTAGTTTCATTCTGACTTCCTGGGACTGTTAGCAATGACTGAGGATTCATGTAAAACTACCTATCAACTCCTGTCTCACAGCAGTGTTCCTATCTTGTGAATTCTTCAGCTCTCCCTGTTGACCTTATCTTTGGAGAGTGGTTTTGACCTCTAATACATTAAATTTTCTCATGTTGTAGGTGCTTCACTACCTTGCAGTCCAAAAACCAGCAGACCTGGCAAGGCATCTGCTGCCTTGTGTCATCCATGCAGCTGTACTCAAGGTAAAGGATGAAGGTAAATAATGTTCAATAAATTATTAAGATATTTTAGGGTGAACAGGGGTGCAATAATGACAACTTTGTTTCTTTCCTTCTAACAGAAGCACTAGAAGATATATCTTCAGTTAAGAAGATTATTAAGCAGATAATATCCCACTCCAGCAAAGTACTGCGTTTCCCCAGTCCAGAGGACAAGAAGTTGGAAGTAAGGCTGGGGCTGGAAACCTGGCAGACTTTTGCACTGTTAATGGGAGTGCTAAAAGAGCATCTTTTAAATTCACTTTTATTAAACTGTTGCAGGAGATCATTGCTCAAATTATGAGCGTGGAGGCCATCATTGCCAGGGCAAGGTCTCTGAAAGCAAAGTTTGGGGTAGAGAAATGTGAAAATGAGGAGGAGAAAGAAGACCTACAAAGGTGATGATTTATTTTATTAACCTCCCCCCCATGTTGTTTTGTTTCTCCTCTGATGCCCTTTTTGTGTATGATGTCAAAATTTAAGACAGATGGAAATGGTGATAATGCCGAAATAGTAAGGGATCATAGTTAGGTATCCATGTCCCTAGACTACCTACAGATGTTGTGTGTGGGTACCCTAAATGCTCCTCTAAATAAGTATCTCTTTGCAAACATGGGATACAGGTTATTGCAGTGGAAATTGGTTTTATCTTGATAGTACTGGAGATTTCATTTACTGTTTGTGTATGTAAAAGGTGTATTTGAACTCTGTCACGATGGAGGTAAAAGTAGGACTAGGAATTTAGTATTCTGCCCTTCCTGACCTTACGTGGGAGGTCACTACCATGTTCAGCTCAGTTTTGACCTGTTACCTGTGGAGGAACAGCTGCTTGTATTAGCATGAGAGAGCAATGAGGTGGGAGGAAAGAACTGAAGGCTAAAGTGGGAGTTAGTCTTTAGGGCAGTGGGCAAGGAGGAAAGGGATGCATAGGTGGTGCTATAGTGTTTGGGTGGGATGCTGAGGAATGTCAGAGTTTTTCTTTACACTTTTAGAATGGAGAACTGAGTGTCTGCCAGTTCTCACCCTGTGTGAGTGGTGCTTGGTGGAGGTCTCCTCACAGGTCTCAACTCTGGGTTTACAGCCAAGGATTAAACATTCAATAATTTCTTCCACCAGATTTGTAAACTGTCTGCTGGACCAGCCAGAAGTGTCAGTCCTTGGTGCAGGAAGAGGACCTGCTGGCAGCATTATTCACAAGCTGTTTGTGAGTGCTCAGAGGGTAAGAGACAGCTCTGGCTTGCTTTGTAGACACTTGTAATTGGAGCAGTGTGAGGCAATGACCTATCATATGATGCCAGTGTATTTTGTCTGCGTATGTGCATGTCTTGTCATGAATGTGCTTGAGGTTTTTTGTGATGTTCCAACATGATTTTGGCAATAACAGAACCTTACAAGACAAAAGAAGAGTAAGTGACCTGAGATGGCAAACAGCTGAAGCCAGCTGGGCAAATAGAGTGTCCTTAGTGCTTGGTGTGCTTCAGATCTTAACAGCAGTAGTGCTATTGTGACACGATTTCTGCCTTGTCACAGCAAGAGCAATCAACTATTGATTGTTTCACGTAGGAATGTAGAGAAACAGGTCATAACATTAAATATTTTAGAAGGAGCAACTTTTTAGACAGAGGTTTATACTTGGAATACTTTAGATTTCCTCTGTGGAAACTACCGTGCTTAGGAAGTCTCAGCTCTTTTTCAGACTTTACATTCAGTTTACTTATTGCCAGTGTTTGCCCCTGTTTTCTGGAGACTCTTCCCTTGCTGATATTGGTATAAATGTTCCTTTTTTTCTCGTAAGCAATCTTTGTAATCATTAGCCTTAAAGTATTGATTGCTAAGCTTTGTGGATTGCAGTCAGCCTTCATTTTCTTCAGAGTTACACCTGTTCTTAGCATCAAATTTTCTAACTGAAATCTGACTACAGTAGTAATAACAAGGTAGCACAATATTGTAGACATCTTAGAGCCTGAAATCCCATTTGGAAATAATTGCTGGGAAAATGTGGTGATTGGGTGTTAAACACTCCTGAGGTATGGATGCTTTTGCAATCATCTGTATTTTGCAATTCAGCATAAAAAGGACCATTCTGAAAACAGACCATGGTTATTCTGAGGGATAAAAATTGGAGTATTACAAGGTAGCACAATATTGTAGACATCTTAGAGCCTGAAATCCCATTTGGAAATAATTGCTGGGAAAATGTGGTGATTGGGTGTTAAACACTCCTGAGGTATGGATGCTTTTGCAATCATCTGTATTTTGCAATTCAGCATAAAAAGGACCATTCTGAAAACAGACCATGGTTATTCTGAGGGATAAAAATTGGAGTATTTGCTTTATCCTTCTGTAGGGAATAAATCTGGTTGCAGATCTCAACATGTCAACCAGCAAACTGTGTATGCCAATTTCTAGGGTTTTCTTTCTTTGGAAACATCAGTAACTAAAGCAGGTTACAGATACTGCCCACCAGTCACTGGTCACTATTAATTAAGATTTCTTAGTGGGACAGGAGCCAACCTGCTACAAACCCCATTTGTGTTTAATCTCCCTTGAGTTCTTTCAGTGGAGTATATAGAAGTTGAATTAATTCCCTGTTCATTACCTTTTGAACATGGACTCCTCTTTGAGTTGTGTTTAATGTGTTCTCTTCTCAAGGTTTCTCAGGAAAGCTCTAATAGCCAGTGCATGTTCTTGGAAGTGTAGAGTGCATGATGTCTCTTAAACCTACAGTCTCCTCCTAACCTCTTGTAAGTCACCTCTGACTTGCCTTTGTTTCTGTCTTTCATCACTGGTTCTTTTCTCATCCCTTTCCAAGCTGACTGAATCTTCTGATGAGGTAACCGACTTTGTCCCTCCTTTCCCACTCATCTTCCCTAGCTGTGTAGAGTTGAACCTGTTAGTAGATAATAGTACAGCTGCCAGATTTAGTTTGTATGTTGTTCACATATTAAGCATAAAACGAACTTTGTGTTTCCAGAATGGTTTTTTTTGCATTCACAGGTAGCAAAAAGAGAGAGAAATCTTTAATAACGAACAAAACCAAAAAATCAAAACCCCACTTGCCAAAACCAAACCTCAAACATTTATTCAAGTGAATATTTATGTTTTCTGACGCTGAAATATGTGGCCATGCCTTTATTTTCTTCTCTGTTGCCATCACTGTTTTTGTGTGTTGAACAGGCAGATGTTTTGGGGGGAGGTGGTGATGGGCAGTACCTGGATGTTGCAATCTCCATACCAGGACTTGCTGAAGCTATGGAACTTTTTGGACAGAGAGATTTGGGGAAGAACTGGGGTAACTGTGTAAAGTGTAGCATGGGGAACATCCTTTCTGTTGGTTTCCTAGAGCTGTTCCTGTGGGAACAAGTGGCACTTGTCCGTGGTGAGTTCTGTGGCACAGACTGCAGAGCAGTGTGAGGTCCCTCTGCCCGTGGGGTGGGTGGAGGAGAGAGGTGGGACAGGAGCTGAGAGGAACCACGAGGGTCATCCAGGGGTTCTGCCACACCTCAGTGACACTGACAGGTGGAGATGTACACGCTCAAGTTAGGAAGGAGCCCGTTGGGGTGTTGGTGGCAGGGGGTGTATCCATACATGTTTGTAATCAGAGGGTGTTTTCATGGCAGCACAGCCCTTTCTCCAGCAGACAGGCTGCGAGGGGATGGTTGCTCAGTGTCTCACTCGCTCTGCAGTGTGCTTTGAGCAAGCCTGTGGCCATGAAAAGCACATTCCACAGCAGTGTTTGAGTGTGAAAAGGCAGTGACTGTCGGGGCCACACTAGTGGCACTGATGATGTTGAAGAGGAGGTTGGTTTGGCTTGGTGCAGCCCCAGAGAGCTGAGGAGACATCCCCTCTGCTCACAGCACTCGCTTCACACTGCCAGAACAGCAGGAGCTTGATCTAGGCTGAGCTTCACCATCTGCACATGAAGGTTCTTCCATCTGATTACGTGTGCTTTATCTCCTGGCATCCCATTAGCGCCTTGCTCTGTGTACATAGGAGTTGGCCATTTCTAACCTTCCTCTCGAGAGCCGCTCTGTGAGTCCTGCTGCCCAGCAGCGCTTGCCCTGTCACTGCCGCTGTGCTCTCGTTGAAGGTGTCGCCCGCGCCGCCCGCGGAGGAGGAGCCGAGACGCTCGGGGTCGCAGGAGGAGCGCAGACAGGGGATGGTTTCGGACTTCCCCCCGCCCACGGGCCGCGAGGTGATCCTGCGCACGGCCGTGCCCCGGCCCGCGCCCTACTCCAGGGCGCTGCCGCAGCGCATGTACAGCGTGCTGACCAGGGAGGATTTCCGCCTCGCGGGAGCCTTCTCGGCGGACACCACCTTCTTCTGAGCCGGCCCGAGCCCCGCGCAGCGGCCTGGCAAGGCAAGGGAAGGGAATCCGGGAAGGCTGCGGGTGCACCGCCCCGTGCCGAGGAGCGTTCCCGAGGGCAGAGCGGCGCTGCCATCGCCCGCTGGCTGCAGCGACTCCGGGAGGGTTGGAATGGTTTCACAAGTAGTTTCAATCGGATCTTCGGGGAAGAAAATTTAGCAATCTCCTCTCTGTCCAAAGGGAGCGTATTTTCTTTTCTTTGCATTAGCTTGTTTAATTATGGGCTGTGTGCAAATAGTCATGTTGGAAGTCATGCAGGATGTGCTGCTTTTTACACTTCTGCATCACTTTATCAAGTGACATTACTTAAATTCATGTGCAAACAAAGTAATTTATATTTATTGGTAATAATGGCTATAATCATAACTACAGAGCCCAGTATTTTTTGGTTAATCACTAAGTTTCAAGTACTTCTAAGATAGCCTTATTTTTATTTAAAGACTGCAGTACACTCTGGTTCATGCTGAGCTCTCCTGGCATTGCAGCAGTGATCCAAATAGATCTTGTCACTTCTCCCAAACAGAAGTAAATACATTTGGGGCCAGAACGGGACAGTGACCATGACAGGCTGCACTGGATCACTGATGGGTTTGGAGACTTCATTTCCTTCCCTGCATGCAAGGGCCAAAGCTGTGTGGAAATGACACCTGCAGAGGTGTTTCACTGTGAGCAATGTACAGGTATTTACAGAGGCTGTTTGCCCCTTGTGTCTTTGGTGTGATAGAGTGACACAGTCACCTGCTGGACCCTCACCCCACTGGATGTCATGCAGACACTGACATGTGTGTGCCAATGTTGCTTCACAGTGATCTTCATGTGTTTTAATGAGAATCAGCAGAAAAGCAGCATTACTTTATAAAATGAAATGTACAAACTGCTACAGTATTGTGGACATGACTCAATAAATCTGAAGTTATTAGTGGCTCTCAGTATTCTCATGTTTTCACATGTCCTCCTTGCATGACCTGACCAGGAAGGACATTGTTTGTGACTGTGACTCCACTAAGTAGAGATAGTTGAGTTGTGCAACTAGTAGTAGGGTCCAGGTGTTCCCCTCAAAGCAGTTTTAGGGTAAAGGGGTCAGAATGTTTTCCTGAGATAAAGATGAAGGATGAAGAAGAGTTAATTTTCTCCAGGGAAAATCCTGTCACAGAATTTATTCTCCAGGCTGTTTGTGTGTTACCTGAGACAAGTTCCTCTGACAAAGGGGTAAGTATGATAAAGACTAATTTAGCTGTTGTTTAATTGTGTAGCTTTTAAAAAAGAAATTGCACTAGGCTAATTACCAAATAAGTAATCTTTAACTTAAGCTTCTTCCCTAATACTCTCATGAAGTTTTACACTGCAGTGAGGCATCTTGTAAAGGCTGTATAAACTTAAAAATCCCTCACACTTAGTCATCAAGCTGTTCTTACTTAGACTTTAAAAGTGAGAGAGAGATTATTCCTCTGTCATCCTCAGAGAACACAAACAACACCTAACACTCTGCTTGGGCTGTTACCTGAAGGTGTCTTTGCTGGAAAAGTCCAGTTAATTATGAGACTAGAAAACGGTGCATTCATGCAACTACCTTGTCTTAAACATTCTGTTTCACAGTTAAAGAGTTACCCTTTTGAGAAAAAAATCTTAGTCATAACTCAGAAAGCTTTTCAGCCTATTTTAACTAGATGTAGTTGAAATAGCAGCCATGTGCTTTCAGAAAAGCTGTGTTGTGCACAGCCGTGCTTTATGAGCTAACAGCTGCACTACAGCATTCAGGGGGAGGGGGAGAGACAGAAAGCATAAAAAATCGCTAGGAAAAGGAACTGTATTTATTTTTAAATAGCTGTAAAGAAATCCATGTGAACAGTCCAAAATAACCAGCATCTCTGCAATGTCCTTAAGGAGAATGTGAGTGTAGCATTTCCCAGAAAATACCTTTGATGAGATAGGTAACTGGTAATTTTTAATGTTCCTTAGCATGAATAAGATTTTAATACAACTTGGTCAAGTGAAAACAGAATTCAACTGCCATCAATTCTCAATGCCAAAGTCCTGTCAGTCAGGCCCAGCAGGCCCTTTGTGGCTGAGCAGAGTTAGAGAAGACAAATCACTCACTTCTGCTAGTTTTTGTCACAATAGATGTATTTTCTCCAGCAGTTTTGGTATGTGAACAAAGAAGAGAATTAAAAGTAAGACATCTTGGTTCATAATGTCCCAGTACAACTGGACCCTGTAACACCAACATCAATTTCAACAGAACTTCCTCAGATTCTTGCAGCTCTAACTACACTGCAAGAGGAAAACAGGAATGCTCCAAAATCACGGTGAGAAATTCAGCTTTAAGCCACAGGGTAAATAAAAATATAACCATGATCAAGTACCATGGATGCTCTCTGATAATCGGTATGAGAAAAGGTTTTTTGGTTTTAATTCCTTATTCTCTCTACCAACAGCATGATAAGGCTGCAGATTCCTGTTAAAGCAGGGCATGAGGAGAACTCTGTAACTATTGGTTTCAGACTCATAACCTAAGAATGTGTTTTGCTTTTTACATCTTCACAAAAAATTTGGTGATATCACAGCCATACTTTGTACCTAAAGACCTCCTCTTCAGCTGGCTCCTCTCCTTGGCCTGTTTTGCAGTTCTCTGCAAAAGAGAAAGACAGGTCTGTTCAGTGAGTATTGATACTTGGCACCACCCTGCCCAGTGGAAGGTGTTAGCCCACAGTTAATTCCAGTCTAATTTTGCAGTACACAGCACAATAAAACGCAAATGTTTATTAAGGTGACATTTTCCCGCATCCTGAGGAAACTGTCATATTGTGATAGTTTAATAATGCTACTTCTCCCCCTTCACTGTAGGGGAGGGAGAGATAACAGGGCTGAGGAGGAGCCAAGTGCAGTCTCCTGCTGCTGTTCCCTGCAGAGGATTCCTGGCTATACCACACTGACCTCCCTGTGGCACAGTGTGCACAGTGTCTGCAGGTTCTCCAGGGAGCACTGTCCTCCTCCACTGTACACAGGTCTGATGTGATCCACCTGCCAGAACTGCCCTTCCGTGGGGTTCGTTATCATTTCGTTCAGCTGCAGCAAACAGAGAGGACATGGCATTGGAGGCATGAGGGATTCCTTCTCAACTACAGGTATAGCCTACCCTCGGAACAGGAAAATCCAGGGAAGGAGCTGTTTGTAGTTTTCATCAAGATAAGACAGTAAAGCCTTAGCTTTCTGTAGTTACTCCCACTGGCCAAGCAAACAGCTGTAGCTGGTTGGCATGTTCTCATCCAGCCTCAAGTGTACAACCAGCTGTGGTATTTACATCCACCCCCACAGACCCAGAGCTCTGATGTCTGTGCCCTTTAGAGATGAAAAATGTGTTAGAAGACAATGGGATTTTGTTTGTTTTTAAGGACTTGCTTTTTCTTGTTCTGTTGCCAGTGCTAGGTTAACCTTCCATTTAAATCTGTAAGAAGGTTTTTGGGTGTCTATCTCTACAGAGCTGAGCTGTTTCTGGCTAAACCCCAGAACAGTTACCTGCCCAAGGGGGAGCTGAGACATCCAGGAGCTCTCCAGAAGTTGCTTGCGCTGACTCCTGGGTGCATCTCTGACGCTGAGGTAAAGCTCTTGTGCATTTTGCTTACAGGACTGGCAAACACCGTGTTCGATTTGCAGCACTTTAGTCCTGAGGTAGCTCTGACTGGAGCGGATGGAGAAGTCCTCCTGGCAGCTGTGGGAGCAGAACCGCGTGTCCCAGGCCCGGGCCTGGCAGCCTGGCTCCAGCTGGGCTGTTGGCTGCTGGCAGCTCAGACACAGTGGGTTCCCCTGGCTGTCCAAGGCCTGCAGATACCCTTTGGAGAGGGAGGAGCCTCCAGCTTCAGTCTGCTCTGCCTGAAGGACTGAGGGACCTGTTTCTGGAAGCAAACTTTTGGCAGAGCACAAAGCACAGCTGTTATACAGGAGGGAGTCGGGAACACGATTCAGTGAAATTTATGCACTGTGTATTGCCATTAACATACCTTTTATGCTCTGAAAACCCAATTTTAGTTTCATTAATATGTTGCTCAGATTGACACCTGCGCAGTGCATATCTTCTACTTGGTTTACATTTCCATTTATGCAAAATTTGACAATCTAGCAAGGCAGATTTTTCTCCTGCACATCTTAATATATATACACATGTACACAATTATTAGCTGAAATGATGCTGTATTTGTAAAGAAATGGTGGTTTCTATCAGGCAAGTACACATGGAAAGGTAAAATGTTTCAGGCCCCTCTAACAGAAGTGAAAAAGTCAAAGGAAACCTCCTGGTTTCTCTCTACAATCTTCATGGCTGCCTATCGATTTTCTACCCTTCACAAGGCAGGATACATTGCTAGTTTAACACCATTTTTAAAGAGCAAATTCTGTTCAGAATTTTCATGTTTTCTCCCTTTTTCTAAATTTTGAGGTGAAAGAGAAAATTTGGTGTGCCCAGGTTGCTGTTGACCTCACAAGAAGGCCTGAGCTAACATTCTTCTTTCCTTCACTGAATCATGCTACTACTCTCTTGTTTTGTTTTAATCAGACTCACTTAATTAGCAGCTGTGTCAGCAGACAACAGATGTAACCTAAATTGTTACAAGAATAAACCAGAGCTCATTAGCACTACAGCAAGTCTCTCATCTATACACTGTACTTCAGTGAGACAGACAGCAAAGAATTTTGCTACCTTAAAAAAAACCCCAAACTGTGGAAAAAGAGCTTAATCACCTTATTGCATTAATGAACTTACTTTGTGGACTGCTCAGCAGAAGCATTTTCGTTCCTGAGACAAGCCCTGCTCTGTCTGGAGATGAGGCGAGTGCTGCCCCCACTGCTGTTGGCCTTGGCCAGTGAGGCTGCAGCCACGTCCTCCTTGGTCACGTACCTGAAGGGTTAGAGCCTGTCAATGTACTGCAAAGGCAACAGAGAACAGTCACTCTTGCAGCAAGATTGGGACAGAATATTCTCTTAAAACAGCCATCGTTTCCTGGATGAGACTAATAATATCTGGGGAGACATACTGCATAAATAATACTTCTGTACTTAATAGAAGATCTTCCTCTAAAACCAAATTCAGCTCTAACCAGCAAACAGGTATGTTGTTTTGTATATAACAATTTAAAAATGACAGCAATTTGATGCTGCCTGAAGTGAAACCTGAAAAAGGCATTTTGTTTCAGTTAGGTGAAGTCTCAGTGACACTCTGGATAATTCAGGAAGCTTGGCAAGCTCTGGAGCACTCCTTGTTCCATCTGTTAGGTTTGAACTCCCCTCTTCATTTTCATGTGAAACCATACAAAACACAACTGCTCTTAAGCAACACTTTGAAAATCACTTTGCTCTGATTCCAGAAACCACTTTTCAGACATCTTCTAACTACCAAACCCTATACACCACCTTAGAAAGCTGCTGTAGGGT